AATTGCTTTATCTCTTAGTTAAAACTAGGAACYGACGGGTTCCTGGGAGAAATATATCTGTTCTTATGTCCCAGCCAGCTGTAAGTCACAACTGGTTGCCAGCAAGAAATTCAGGAAAAAAAAAACTCTCCAGGCATGGAATACTTTTTAAGAATTTTTGCCAAGAAAATAAAACTTTCCGAGCTAAAAAAAGACTATAAGCCGTTTTTGACCATATAAAAACGTTATATACATTGTAAGTTATTTAGAAGAACAGACCCAATGGATCCCCTGCGTTATCATACCTGTTTGGTCAAGTGAGCTGTATACATATGAACAGCTTATMCCACTCATTTGAAGAAGCTGTGAAAAAGTAAAAAGGAAAAAAGAAACATTGAGTGTCAAACAGATGCTTGGAATCAGGGGTCCAGCATACAAATTGTTAAACATGTTCTCTGCATCGTAAATCAAGTTTGATAAATGATATTATTTGAAGATTACAGCTGTTTTCTTGACTTTTTTACCAGTTGACAACAACATTGATGGGAATGTCTGTATCTAACAGAATCAAGTTAAAAACTGTACCTCTTTTAAGTATTCCACATGGTGTTTTGTAGCAGCGAAGACTAGTGTTTGCTCAGTTGATTGGATGACATTTTGAAGTAAATGCAGAAGAATCGCTGAAAAACAGAACAATACCAAATATAACTCTGTGTTTAAACACCTGATGCGCACTGGGCATCAAGATGTGTGTTCTCAAGAGCTTTCCAATGACCCTCTACAAGTTGCCAGGACTTCCAGACCTGGAAAACTAAACTATCAAATTSCATGACTTCGCGTGTWTTTCAGGACCTGCAACAAGCCCTGCTTGAACACTTTGCTATAAATTGTTTTTATTGGGTGTGTGTTGAGAGCAAAACTTGCTGAAATATGATTTACAATATGCGTCAACTGATAATATATTCACATAATTGTCTGTAATCTCTGCCGGTAACCATGACACTTTAAACGTATTTCTGYTGTTTTATTCAACTGCCACAGTTCATTCTTTTCACAAAATCCCGCCTGTGTTTAATACCTTTAAACCCCCCTTCTCCTATTCAGTGCTGGGGTATGTTTCAAACAACACCTGAATTGCATYGGGTACGGCAACATTGAAGCGGGGAAGGGAGTTTGAATGATGAATTCGTGTAAAATGTTAGTGTCAAGCTAATTTGACGGCGATTGTAACAATTCAACCAATCACCATCTACAACATCTCTTGGATGATAACAAAAGAATGCCAATACATTAACAGCACCTATAATGCACTGTGTTGCA